CACGAACCAACCTTGGCCTTTACTCAAGTTTTCCTCAAGGTTCTGTACGCCCTGCAAGCGCTATAAATGCACAAAAATGGTAACGAGGTAAAAGATTACAACAGAATTAATTCATGAATACTGACCTACTTTGTACATGACGCGCAATAAAGGCTTACAACCGATAAGAAAAACTCGAGGTAAAGCTGAGGAGTGTTTGTGAATATAGGCCTGAGTCTGAGTGAGTCCGGATGATTAATTGTCTTAGTTTCAGTCCAAGTGAGCCCAAAGCTCAAAATATATTTTGAGTGAATCTGACTTCCACAAGTTTAGCCGACCTGTGATCAGAACCCTAAGTGTCAGCAGAGCGTCTCCAGTCGTAGCGGACTCCGTTAGAGACAGAGCGCGCTCTTAAAGCGCCACTCACCAGGCCCCATACAGAATTTTAGTTAGACAGTGGAAGTAATTGGGTCTCCTACGAGGAACATTTTGCCACAAAAATTTTACGAATCGGTTCATCACGAGCGGAGAAGACAGGTTTTTTTGAAGCGGCGCGAAACGACGATGAGAGGAGGCGAACTCGTGAGCCTTGCCGCTCCTCCGCGTAGCCTTCGCAAGCCAAATCTCTTCCCCACCCTCTCCAGCACCCGACCATGAGGTGACGTGCGCATGACGTATGCCTAAACAAGTCCAACCCTCGAGAACGCGAGCAGCGTTGCTTTGTTGACCAGCGTTATTTTGTGGTCTTCTGCCTGTTTCTGCGGGATGGTTTGGAAACGCTAGCTTAGACGCGGTAGAGTAGATGAGCACACTCACTTTTCTCTTCCTTTCTCTCAAGAACCACTTCAGAGCACAATGAATGCGCGAACGCGTAGGAGCGTTCCACAGCTGTCGTCTGCTCAATGTGCTGACCGTAGGGACACAAGCGCATGTGAAACGCTGGCACATTAGCCTCGCATCTCCTAGCATTTCACGGGAAAAAAATAAAAGAAAAGCGCGCACAATATTTTATTGCGCTCATTTTTTATTTCATGTTTTATTAATCTCTTAAAGGAACAAATACATAAACTACGCATGTTGTGTTAAATAAATTTTGCCATGTCATGTGGTATACTGTTGACAACGTCAGAGCAGAGTCGTCTACGTAGAGGACCAACGTCACTGCATTGCCGTATACGTAGGGCCATTCCTACGCCTACGTCATGCCCTCATTCTCTACGCGTGCGCCGGCAGAGGGGAGGGGGAGCAGCTTTCGTCTTGAAATTTGACCCATTTCCGCGGCGCGTAGCGTTGCAAATTTTGGCAGACGTGATCATGAACGCCTTGTCTACGCATTGCGCTTGTCAGCTCAAAATTGTCGAACCTGGCGAGTGGCCCTTTAAATGAGGCACTCTCAGCGGGGAGCTTGCCAAAGTTTATAAGTCAATAATAGATTTATTTTCTTTGCGCTTATAGCACTGCCAAGTCTCACATAAAAATTATGTGCAGAGATCAAATTTCTCTCGGATGGTCTTCCCGTAAACATAATATATTAGTAATTAGACGCATGATGTGTGTGAATTCAACTGGTATGGCTGTCACATTTATAAAGGATGCACGTGAAGTATTATTTCTAAGATGTACATTGTAAATTCGTTTAGATGTAAAATAAGCAATCGCTGATGGTAGTACCCTGTACTAAACACACAGGTAGCTTAACGCTATCCCATAGAACTCCTTTCGACGAGAATTTAGTGACCTCCTAAGTTGTTTGCTCGATGGTGTTCGAGCAACTTCGTGAACTCGTTCACGACATAATTTTTCTCGATGCGGCCTCCTCAAGTGAGAGGCCCAAGGGACGGCTTACGTCTATCCCATAGTAGAGTACCGAATACTCTAAGTCATTAGCCACTTTTTTCAAAATGATAGCTCAACACTTTTCCATAGCAGAAAACATCGTACTTTAAACTTTCGAACATTCATTCTAAACACGCGAAGTATTTTAAATTGTTAGCCAATTTTCTAAACACATTTTTTTTTTCTGATATAAAAACTCTGCGGTCGGCATCTTGAATTTCCGTGCCGTTCCGGAAAGTCACCTACTCCCCACTTTGCTGACAATTGTACTTGCTGATTATTGGGGGGGGGCGGGGGCGGAATTCCGCTCTTTTTGAGCCGCTATCGTCTGCTCGGTCTACCTGCGATAACGATGGAATGAATGAATGAATGAATGAATGAATGAATGAATGAATGAATGAATGAATGAATGAATGAACTTTATTTAAAGTCCGGCAGTTTTACCGGGCAAGGTGGGGCAAGGTGGGGCAAGAGGGGGTATAACTCCTGACATACTTTTTTCTCGCGTGCTCGAAGACGCAAGCCCTTCGAGCCTTCCTCGAGTTCTGTGCGTGTGTCGACCTCGCCGCCTTATAGACGAACGCTTTCGCTTCGTACTACTGAGTGTACTGACAAGACATTCTGTTGCCATGCTTTTCACTTTTACTTCTCTCCTTCTTCTTCCTGTCATCTTTACTTCCCCCTCGCTTCATCCCTAAAGGCGCTGAGTCGTGCCCCCTCGACGGGAGGCAGAAAATAGCGCCCTTTTTATGTCTTCCTTCTATCGTTAATCTATCTATTTATCTATCTCCTTTTTTTTTTCGCAACATGTAGTAACTATAGTGGTTATGTTTTCGCATCTGTGGTGATCTACAAAGATTAATATCATTTTTTTTCGTACGGTGAAAAGACGTCGTCACAATTTCCTGGCGCCAGTATCTTGTCGCCAAGTCGTGTCGATAAAAATGAAATTTTCAGTGAAGATCAAACCAACCATGCCGTGTCTGATCTCGCGCCACTTGCTCGAAAACGCGCATGTTCGTCGGTTTAGTCACAACTCCATGCCCTCTTTTTTTTTTTTTTTCACAGACCCCAGCTGCGAAGACCTCAGGTGCGCCCTCACCGGTTACTGCATATCTTCGCGCCTCAGGTGCAACGACTTGCCCAATTGCGGGAGCAGCGACAACACCGACGAGGACGATTGTGAGCCCGTAGTCTGTTTTTTTACTCACTTACATTCTACGTCGTTTTTTTACGTTGGTCAACTTACACATAACTATCATCACTATGTGTTACAGAACTTCCTTAGCCTGCGCAACGCCACAGTCATATTTTTAAAGTCTTTGACAGTTTCCTTGCCTGGCAATATATAGGGTCCGCATCGAATCCTACTCCTGCTGCCCTTTCTTTCTCTTCTTGTCTCATTATGAATAATAGAAACATGGGTTGCAAGCTACAATGCAATAAAAATACAATAAAGCATGAATAGCAAATTATAAGAAGTGTAGTTAACCTCCCTACCTTTCTTATATGTTCTCTCTCTCTCTCTCTCTCTCTGATTGACTGCACATTATTAAGAGCCAACAGCTACAAGGTTCACAAGGTACCTTTTACGCATACGCCCAATAGCGGTGTCACGTGACGCAATGCTAATCAGGAACCTACCACGGTGGTCTAGCGGCTAAGGCACTAGGCTGCTGACCCACAGGTCGCGGGATCGATTCCCGGCCGCCGCGCACGCATTTTCGATGGTGGCGAAAATGCTTGACGTCCGTGTGCATGGATTTAGGTGCAGGCTAAAGAACCCCAGGTGGTCAAAATTTCTGGAGCCCTACACTACGGCGTCTCTCGTAATCATGTGGCGGTTTTTGGAACGTTGAAACCTCAACAATTATTATTAATGCTGATTGCGATAAAGCCTGATTGTAATCAAGTTTCTTATCCGTGATTGGCTCCCTTACACATATTGTATAGATGGGTTAGTCAAGATCAAGAACGTACATTTCGATCAGAGTCGATCGGAACTAACAGTATCCATGTGCACTTTTGATGGCGACCTGTGACACTTGCGGTGTGGCTATTTTACCGTGCGCTTTTGTCATGACGTTGAATGTTCAGTCAAGGTTACATAAAATTAACTTTGACAAATTACCTTTCAATAATTACCTCTCATTGGTTTCGACATCACTAGTTAATAATTCTAGTGAGTTAATCACAACATATATATAGCTAGTTATTGTACTACAAATTATTTAATCATATAAATACCTAACTAACTTTCGCTAATTAATTCACAAATGAATTTTTTGTTTGTTTGGGATCGTATATATGCACAGTCATGCTTGCACTCGCTTTTGTTGAGCTTTTGCTACCCAAGAGGCCACGCGATCTTTTCTGTTCGCTTTTCTCACGTCGCCTCTTACCGGCTTTTCGTGCACGGCCACATTCATGAGAAGGAACTGTTCTGCGTAGCGTGTACGGTTTTAGATAACAGTACATATACATGTTTAGTTCGACCCAAAACTTCTTTGAGTTAGCGTTATACCGCATACGAAAAGCCGGACAAGTAGTCCCATCTGGGGGTGCTGAGATGACCCAGGCAAGGATGGAATTGATATCGCAGAAACCTAGTGCGTTCTACTTCTCTGGTGAAGTAAATTATCCGCAGCGGGCTCATACTGAACGAATTGCCTTTTAAATATATTTGCCAAGGACACTAGGAGAAAACAAAGTAACGCGTGTCTATAGCGGTCGTTGCACATAGCATCACAAGAAGTCGATACTGGTGTTTTGCTATCGCTATGGTGTAATACCGGATAACGTGTCCCATATGTGCCGCCACGCAAAGGTGCGCCAACTATGGAGGATAGAAAACAGCTAACAAACGCGTAATCTATGTCCTCCCAGACTCAGAAACCGCCCATCGCCACTCGCTAAGCCTACGGTATCGATTATTCCAGAGTGACCCTAAAAAATAGTCCCTAATTAACACGAATACTTTGCTGTCGAAGCGTACGCAGATGAATATAAAGCAGGTGAAAGTATCAGTTCCGAGCTAACGAGCTACAGAGTGCACATACAGAATGCATGATGGCCACTTGATAGATTCGAGGTGGACTGCAACCACTTTGGCGGCAGAGTTATTCAATCATACTAGTTGCGAAACTGGGTTCCAAAACCCGGACACGCAGTTGGCCTGATTCTGATACAGTTAGCGGACTGTCACGCCCCCTGCGAGCGGCGACGCAAAACAAAATCTGGTGTGCTAATAAACAGGTGGCGTGACAACCTGCACACTCCTAATGCTAAGAGAGGATATAGATGCGAAGGGGTGTGTTTTTGGCGCTACTTAAGTTTTTTTTTTTTCGGGGGCTTTACACACTCCCGGCACCTGTGCCCTGTGCCAATGTCGTGACCGGTTTTCGATACATGGAGCCCGTATGATTGAATAACTCTGCTTTGGTGGTGCAGCCATCTTTTTAGTGCGTGCGCATGCGCAGTTCACTCGCGGCATTCCGCTTTACGCAAATCATACGGCGTACAGAGGAATACTGGACAGACCAAAACACTCTAACAACACCGTTTTTGCATGCCGTAATACCGGAACACGCTAAAGACCTGTACCACGACGTCCACGTGCCTCCTCGCTTCGCAGGCGTGCGCAGCCCCGAGCTCAACCTGTACCTGGTGGGCGGCGTGTCCGGGGGCTGCGCGGCCTTCACGCTGCTCACGCTGTGCCTGGTGTGCCGTAGCCGGCGGAGGCGAAGACGCCGGAGGAGGAGGCACCCGCCCTTCGGGGACAGGCCGCCGCTGAGGCCACCGCCGCCCGGAGAGGTGCCGGCCATGCACTTCGTCTCCATGGACACCGTGTGACTAGAGACCACCGTCTAAGAGAGAGGCCACCAGGAACTGAACTCCCCCCAAACTCGTCCCGACACCCGGTCGGGGATGGACGAACAAAAAAAAAAAAAAGAGAACGACGCAAGAGCCCAATACTCTGCACGAGCCTTCTGACGCGCACACTGCCCAATGAATCACTGTTACTACGCGAGTAGGTGTGCATCATCTTGAGCCGGCTTTGATTGGCTCTGATGTAATTAGCCGAGATAGGCAGACTCCTTGAATGGTTAGTCCTGGATGAGAAAGGTTTAATCGGTCCGCGAGACGTCACTGCTTGATACCAAGTATGGGTCAAGCTGATAGCACCGTTTCGCTATGACAAGTATCGTCATAAAAGTCATGATCATGATCAAGTCGGCTCCTTGATTTATCTGCCATATTATTGTTGTTCAGACCTTCCGGCGTAGATTCATATACAGTTTAGGGGCGTTCATAACGTCTTGAACTCGAAGCAGGTGTTGCTACATGATCGCCACTACCGTAATCTGCCATCCGGTGTTCTTGTGGAAGATTATATAGCGCACAAACAGGCTATAGCAAGCTGTAGTGAGTGAGTCAGCGTGTACACCACTACTTTCCCGTTCAGAACTAGATGTCGTTCACTTCGAGATGTTGAGTTAGCTCGTTCGTTGTCGTCCGTGCAATGCGGCTAAACGAGTGAGCAAAAGAGGTGTTTGCGAGAAGAGCGATGAAAAGTGGCAGAGATGAAACCGAGACGAGGAAGCATACAACGACCAGACTTTCGGCAATGTTTCTCATATGTCACTACACCACATTATGTCACTACATTACACTCGCCCCTAAGAAAGAGGCTCTCTAATTTAAATCTAGAACTATACTATTGAATTAATGCATGCTGATTCTGTCTTAGTGAGAAGACACTGCTTTGACGAGCTTCGTGAAGTGGCAGAGTTTGGGCCATAGCTTTGGGAGATATATTTCAGCAGATATCGTGCACGTTGACCACCGACAGGTTTGCTACTGCTAGTTTCAATGTCATAAACTACAGGCGAGACTAATGTCCTTCTTGGACGCTCCTGCTCAAGATCTTTTTGCCGACCTGACATCTGATGAACTAAGATGGTCAGGTCATACCACATATTTAAGCATCTTCCAGAAGTAATCCTGCCTCCGATGTTGTTGTTTACCTTTATAACGTCCAATGTTATCCTTCCTCGAATTTCGTCAGTATGGCACAAGATAAAGGTGCTGCAGCGTCATTGTTTGACACGTAATGCGTGCAGCGTATTGGATTCTCGTGTGGTTCTTTTTTTTTTTTTTGCAGGGAAGCCACCTTACAAAAGACGGAAGCGCCGCAGTTGTGCTCGACGCCGTCAACTGCCAGCAGCAAAAAGTTGTCTCTAAAATCGTGGCTTGCTCACATCCGCTACGATATTTATAATATTAGCTGCGATTTCACCCTCTGTTGCGATGCTGATGCTTAGTTGCGTCTGTACTTCCAACCTCCTTGTTGACAAGGGGCTCGAGATATGTATCACCGCGCTGTGTGAGTACGGCTGTGTTATAGAAACAGCGCCGAGAAATTTGTTCTTTCGGCGAGCTTTCTCGTGGGCTGCTTTGACAAATCAATGAAACTCTGGTCTCAATACCACCGTATATGTGAGAGCGCTGGCAGACGGACGACTTCCGAGATATACGATCCTTCTACGGTAGGCTTTTAAGTGCGCCGGCCACAACGGCGACTTACTTCCACATGCCGTGGCAATGTGAAACCGCGTGGATACTCGAACTGCGACACGCTTGAACCGAAGCACCGTGCAGTCCAACTCGCTTCAGCTGCGGAAAGCACGACATACGGGTGTCGCAAAACTTGGTGCCAAACTCGAGCCAGAGAGCACTTCCCCGCCGCAGCGTCTCTTATCGTAGCGCTTACCGGGTCAGGTCTTGCCGTCCTAAGGCGTCTTGACGACGCAGTTCCTCTAACGGAGTCAAAAGCGAGCACCAGGCACGGTCGACGTAGGCGCCCACGTTACACGAACGCGCACTCTTCTAATTTCGGAGTTGGAACATGCAACTTAGTAAAGGAAGCGAGACCTTAACGTCACAAGGCTGAGATTCCCCGTTAGTTTACTCTGTCCTGTAAACCTTGACTCTACGCTGTCATCTATCTCAATTTCATTATTTCTTTTTTTTTCCTCGCTTCTTATTACGTCTTGCGCAGTGGTGTGCTCGGCTGACACGCTATCTTGCACGTCGAAACATTTCAGGACCGCCAAGTAAGGTGTACAACAGTGAAGCCGTTTACAACAGCGTGCACTTGCTGTACTTTCGCAAGATTATACGCATGTCCCAGAAAACGTGGGACACAGCGTGTAGGAAGTTCGGCGACGCGCGGCTGGAGAGCCAGTTTCGAGGCATGGCAACCGTGGCTTCCTCGTTGGTTTAGCGAGAATGCAACGCTAACTTTAGCGCTAGCCAAATCTCTTAACTTGTAAAGAAGGCACGATGTTGTTCTCGTACGGTATTGTCCTCCATCCCTGCTTCCCTTCTAAGGAAGACATTCTGCAACTATAGACGTTCTACCCCGTCTCGACAGAGGAGTGAAAATGATTCTTCCCTTCTTGTCGCGTATCCAAGTATAGCCTATAAAACGTATCAAGCTCGACAGAAAATATCGAATGCACTGGTAGCGAGTCTCGCTATGAGTATCTGCGAGGTCGTAAGATACTCGCCCCATATTGGCGTCCTCAAATAGCCGCGAAGAACACGATGTAATATAACCATTTTGACAATGCAATAACGCTACGCAAGTGAGCAGGCGGCGTTGTTTCTCGGTTGTTCTCTTAGCAGGTTTGTTGGTGTTACTGCGAAACAAGCAGCCATCTGTTGACATTATAGCAAGCAAAGCGGACAAGTGTTTTTTTGTCTTTCCAACGCCGATGTCGTTATTTGATGCTCGATAACGCTGGTGCTTTCGCAGTACAGGAGTAACGCTGTCTTGAAATGCGTAGGCGTATCAAAGAAACTCACGAAGTTCGTCTTGATAGAGTGTTATCTGTTATACACACAAACATACATCACACACACACACGCACACAGACACACACACACTCAACACATAACACACAGCTACGCGTAACCTGAACTGAATAGTCTCGGATCTTCTATGAGGTGTCACGTAGGTTGCGGAAAGCGAAGACCCGTATATCACGCTTAGCTTAACTCATACACGTTACAACGATGTAGCAGTGGCGGTCGTGAATCTATAGTAGTCATGCGTGGCTCAAACATGTCGGAAACGTTCTGTTAATGTGGCACTCAAGATTTCCAAGACACGGGGACTGAAATTGGCCAGCAGACGGTTTCTTATAAGTACTCAAAAGCTCGGTACAGAAGACGCGAAAACAGTAAGCTATGGGAAAAATTGAAGCGTCGTTTCCATAGCTTAAGGCGCAAACGTGACGTCATTCGCACTCGCGGCCAGTGTTTTGTTCTCACCGGGTCTGAAACTCCGCGTAAGATATAACATCTTTTCCTCTTGTATTTTCCGAGATCCGCCAGATCCTCGGCATTGTCTGCTGCGTCCTGAGAAATCGGAACCGAGGTTACTACTATATTTGTGCATGATGTGGTTGGAGCTAAGTCTAGCTTGAGTGCGCGTGCATTACTCAATTGTTATTTAGAGCACACTACCTGCCAACACGCTTCCCTAAGTTGGCGCACCTGTATCTTATACTTAGCTGGGTACATTACATGGGCGTTGAGTGGCACTTAGCGTACTTTGAGAAGTGATTCCGGCACACGCGGTTCTCATACAAGGGCCCGGGCTTCTTCCGAAACCCCCCGTTAGCTGTCCCTTAACCATTCGAGCGTGCGCCAACTGTTCTTAAAAGTGCTTGCTGTGGCAAAGTACCCGGGTGTTCCTCTTTCCTGGTACAGACAGACAGGATAGATAAGCAAGAAATATTAAAAACTGATGAAATGCATCGGCCAATTAGTTGCTTCCAACGGTGCAATATCTCGCCTCGCTCAACAAAACCAGGTGAAAAAGTGGTGTTGTTGCCAAACTTCAGCAGCCCTGAGCTCACTCGCTGCCAACACTGTATGATAGGCATTCAAGACGTCCTGAGGTCAGCTTCGTGTGTGGGCTCACTCTTGAGCGGCTGCGAATTACACGAAAGATACCTATACCGCCCACAGTTTCCTTGTTTCTGCGCCCGTCCCATCTACGTGTATGTGTGAGAGTGTATGTGCCATCCCTGTAAATGGAAGAGATGTCCTCATCGACTGTTACCATGTGGTCAACCTCCCTGCCTTCCTCTTCGCTCTCTGTGGTTCATCGACGGCCCTCGTAATATATATATATATATATATATATATATATATATATATATATATATATATATATATATATATATATATATATATATATATATATATATATATATATATATATATACAAAAGGAGAAAAATCCCCCGACTACGGCTTTACCACAAATCACTCCGGATCGTCGCGCGCATTATATTTACATATAGACCAATCAATGGAAGCTTGCTACTCAGAACATAAGCTCAATTTTTGCTCTCTTCCGTTCCGTGCTTTCCAGACGACCACCGGACCAAGAAAAACAAATTCAGAACTTCAAGCAACCGGCCGTTGTAGCAGAGCGGTGAGAACTCAGATCGGTGGAATGAACATTGTATTCGCTGAAGCTAAAGATAAAGATCATTTGACACTGAGATTGAAAAGCAACTGCGAGTGTGCCATTAAGGAAGGAATAAACATAATTCATTGTAAATCGTCGTTACGAGAAAATAAACGCGCCTCCGTGTTAGGGGTAGTTAAAGCAGGAATGGTGCACCGGACCACAGTGCACAATGCATGCCACCAAGGAACGTGCTCTGTGTACAGCCGTACAATCTACACTCCGGCACTGTGCACAGTACCTGCGTGCTGTACCTGTCCTCGGTACCATTCCTCCGTTTGCCAGCTACAGAACATTCGTAAACTGTATAGGCGCCGCCTCGTACACGGTCAAGAGCTATCGTTCCAATCCAACGCTTTCGTTTAGAAAGTGCGGCGGTGTCAACCTACTCCAACTCATAGCGTAACGATAAATATTCGGCTCGTCATCACACACGCTTATCTTCGATGAGTGACAAGCGGAATTAGTGATGGAAGGGATCGTTGTGCTTTTTTTTAAAATGTATTCGGCAATTTTTCACCCGCCAGATATTCTCGCTCATAGCCATTGAAGTGGTTTTCGATCATGCAATATTCTTGATGCGGTTTGCAGTAGCTCGGTTTCCAGTGATACCCGAGACGACCACGTTTATTTTTTCATTTTTTACTTAATTGATGTGGCTGGCCCTTCAATTTACAAGCTGTCCCGAAAAAAAAAATATGCGAGAACCGCATACCTATTCTTAATTCCAGGTTATTGCATATTATATCAATGTTGTATTATAGTCATCCTAAATATTGGTCATAGGTGGTTGTTTAGAGAAAGAGACTTGCCCTAAACGCAAGTTAGTAACACGACTGAACAAAGGATAGGGAAAGTAATCGATGCCATCGAAGATTACGTCCAAGTGCCGAAAATCTTGTGGGTAATCATCTTGATTTTAATAGCGCACTGGAGAACGAGGATTATAGAACAAAAGTAAGGGCACAACACGGACGCTGACTCGCAACTGATTTTTGTTAAGAAGAACATGCAAATATAAAAGTGAGAAAATGAACAGAAAACAGATAATCATTGATATCAACGTATGCAGGTGGCGCTGAGGTATCGGGATTCCGCATCACTTAGCGTGATAGAGGGTACGCTGATACAGTTATCCCCTTTACTTTGGATGTGGAACGCTTCGATGATCTCTCTTGCTAACTGTTGTTTACGACGTGACAGTATTCCGTTCTTCGCTGACACTAAAATACTGTCACGTCATAAACAACAATTAGCAAGAGATCATCGAAGCGTTCCACATCCAAAGGAAAAGGAATAATTGTATCAGCGTACCCTCTATCGCGCTAAGTTATGCGGAATTCCGATACCTAAGCGCCACCTGCATACGTTGATATCAATGATTATCTGTTTTCTGTTCATTTTTTCACCCTTATATTTACATGTTCTTTCTTAACGAAAATCAGTTGCGAGTCAGCGTCCGTGTTGTGCCCTTACTTTTCTTCTGGGCTTCGTTATCCAGTGCTCTGTTAAATGAATCTGTACCAACTCGCTCAAGTTGCAATTCTCGTGCAGTTTATTTCTAGTGGGCAACACGTGCGCTGAG